TTTTCCATCGCTGTTGGGGTCTGTTGCTGAGATAATTACGTAGTCTGTAGTCGGCAATTTATAAAGAAAAAAATCTTGCATATATATGGTTAAGAGCTCCACGGCTCCCCCCCCCCGAATGAAATATAGTTTAAGAATTCTTCCCTTCCCTCCGAGGGTAAGGTGCAAATTCTTTTCTCCTTGGGGTGAAATTTCAGGGTTTCGATTGTTAGACTCGGGTTTCGGGATTTATTTCAAATTTTTCAAATTGAGGGTTTAAGGCTTAAAAATAAATACTATAAGATTATGATTCGATAAGAATTTAGGAAGGGTTTGAGAGTTTAGAGCCTTCATGTAAGCGGGGTTTTAATTAGTATAAGGCTACGCCTTATTTTTTTGAGGTTCGTAAGATTTAGCTAAAATCCCGGTCCAATCTTATATATATTGGTCAGGCGCTCCACGCCCCCCCCCCCCTCCCCCCAATGGTAGATTGTACAGGAACCCTCCCTGTGGTGGGGTGTGGGGTCACTCTTCCCCTTGTAGTGTGGTTGTGAGTTTTGGGATTTAGAGTTTAGCTCAAGCTTTCGAAATTGGGGGTTTGGGGTTTAGGGTCTAAAGCGTATCCGACAGATTAGATCATAAAATTATGAGGATTATACGTATTTAGCCTTGGGCATCTCGCCATGAGTGCGATGTGTTGCGGGGAACATTGGCCGGCGAGCTCCAATCAAGTCTGTAAAAAAGGGTCTAAAGCTAGAGGCATTTTAGATTGGGGGGGGGCCGTATGTTAGATGCATGCTTATATAATTAGGTATCTGGCGCTCCTCCCCCTTATGAAAAGGTCTGGTAGGGGCGGGGTGGGGCTGGTATTTCTAGAGTGGGATCGGGGCGGCGTTAAATGTTATCATATGTATATCATTTCTCTTTTAAAGGTACTATGTATATCTATCATATTATTAAATACTATCAAGTTATTATTATAAAAATGTGCAGCTTTCTTTATATAATATCTCCTATTTCTTCACTATAATATTTTATCTCAATCTCTAAGAATGGCCCCCCATTTGTTTGCTACTTTTTTGGTCTCGCCCGAGCTCCATCGCTTCGCAGGCTCATTCGCCGAACTCCGTGCTGTTGCACGATCTACAAAAGATGATATCGCGGCACCGGCACAAAACAGATTAATTGGCCCTCGCACAGCCGACAAGTCATGTCCGCATAGCTTGCGCATCATGCAACTTTACACGATACCGTTTAGGTACTGACGACAGGACTCTCCAGCCGCCCTTCAAAATTCAAGGTGACCAGGTGCGGCTCTAAATCATCCACAAGCTGTTCAATCAGCACTCCATAGCTCCTGCCCTCGTTGTTGGTAGAACCAGATATGATCACGTGCGGCCTGTTGTCGCCCGGAACCCAGCACCAACAGAAAGCTCCCCCGAAGCCTTCATGCCCCCAAATGAAGCCGCACGGCTTTCCTTTTGAGAACCAGCGCTTAAAGATACCTTTTTGAGCATCCAGATCAACACGCATCAGCCCAAGGCCATAGTAGAAACCAGCTCCGCGCTTTGCGGGAATCCATGACATCATTCTTTCAAGCGTAGCCTTGCCGCCGATGGGGAAGAGATCACCACGCGCAAGTGTTGCCATCAACTTTTGAAGATCACTGGTCGTAGAGACGATCCCACCAGCGGCAAAAGAGTCAGCTGAATGCTGCATTTTTCCTGTAATCTGCGTGTGTCCTACATAGCGCTTTGCCATTGGAGGTGCATCTTGCGGGCTATGCTCCAAAAAGCTGCAGTACGTGCCTGTTCTGGACATTCCTGCTGGATCGAACACCCGAGCTCGAAATATCTCTGGCAGCTTGCTGTTTGTGAGTGTCTCCAGCACAACCCCCAGCAGCAAGTAGTTCGTGTCGGCATAAGCAAACGAACCGGGCAACCCTCTGTTGCTCAAAGGGCAAGACTCCTTCATGTCCGCTGCGTAGCCCAAGAGCTCCCAGGTAGACCACGCTTTGTCGGGGTCGGCTTCAAACGTCTTGACGAAAGCACCTTTCCAATAGTTTGGAAGACCGCCTTAGCCCATGCATGCGAGGTGGCGTTCAACATGTGTTCCCCAACCTTGGGCACTGACCATGCTGTGTCCATGAAGTCTTACTCTCCTGAATCTTGCCTCCCAGTGATGTCATTTTCTGCCCTTGACTTCTTCACCTTCGATGCGGTGAATTCGTTTCAGGAGCTGCCCTACGGTAGACGAACATTTCATCAACTTCAAGCTTCTCCCCTGCTCCTAAGGTGGCCAGCAGGTTTGAAGGGGCTTTCGTGGTCCCCACCCATGTGGCCATGATGGTGTGGACTGCAAGCTGTCATCGTCGATCGCACTGCGGACAGAGCCGTTCACAACAGGTAAAGGTTGCCCAAACACGCTGTAGTATTTCGTGTCTTGCATCGTGACTTCCAATTTAAGGCATGTCCAATCAAACGGGTCTTCCGTTGGTTTCACGTGTTGTTTCTGCCCTGCCGTGGCTTGTTGCAGACATGTAAGATTCTGTCCTCTCAAATTCGCTCAGCCTGGGCCTGGGTTGGTAAATCCTGTTTAGACTAGCTTTCTGGGCGACCGGCTGGTGTGCTGAAGCAGCTGCGTTATGGTGACGCCGCGGAGTCTGCTCAATGGCCACTTTGGAACCTTCTCCTGAATCATGACGGACACCCGGCCTTCAGCGACCTCGTCCAAGTCCTGGTCCAAGTGCAATAGCCCCTCGTCTGCCAGCTGCAGGACAGCTGTGGCGGTGACTATCTTGGTCACGGAAGCCACTTCGAAAGAGTCTCTCAGTGAAATCCTTTCGGCCCCATTTTCCAGTCCACCAGCAGCAGCTGCAAAAAGCAGCGACTGGTTCGAGGCAGCCGCTGCTTGAAGCACAACGCCACCATACCGGCCGAAACTGTTTGAAGCACTCTTCACAGCACTCTCAACACGTGGCAAAGACAGTGCAGGGACCGCCTCTGCACCCGTCATGCGAGACTATGTTGGACCTTCCTAAGCCTTGCCAAGAATCCTTGAGCCGAATCAGCAGAAGGGTCTCCTTGCTACAACGTGTGCGCATGCGCATCTCAACCCATATCCGCCATAACCTGGCGGCCCTGCTTCGGCCGTACCCGGAATTTTGCGCAAACGCTGCGAATGCTGGACCTCAGAGTCTCGATCGTCTGGCAACGCTCAAGTATGCTTCTCCTGCTCGAATGTGGCTCTCGAGCAAGTCGTTGACGTTGTCGGCTTCCTGAAAAATGACGCCGTGACCTGCGTGCTTTATGGCATGCACTTTCGTCTCGAAGTGGTCCGCTATGATATCGGAGTTCATGGGCCGTACTAGGCAGTCTTCGGTTCCTGTTACGACGAGAATGGGGACGCCAAGTTGTCGCAGCTGCTTGCAGCGAGCCTTACTCACATTGTGTGTCAGAACTGCCAGAGCTTGCTTGAACATCGACTTGGGATGGACGCGCCCTGGTGGTCCCATGCCCCTTTGCTTCAGCTCAGGTGGAACTTCCAAGCTCATTAGTATGAAAGCTTTGTTCATCCAACGTTGATTGTCGACGACCGCACCACCGTGAAGCTCGGAAGTCTTCGTCTGGCTGAGCCACGCATCTGGAAAATTCAAGCGCATGGACGCCCGGCCCATCTCCTTGACATTCCTGGTGAGCAGCCCTGTCGACCGAGCAAAGTCGATGAGGGCGCCAGTTGTAGGCATGGCCCAGAACACAGAGGCGTAGGTGGCAATCAAGCTCAGCGAGGCTACGCGCCCGGGCACGGCAATTGCAAGCTCTTGCGCAATCATTCCACCCATGCTGATGCCAACGACATGCACGTGACCCTGCCATCCCAAATCATCCAGCACTGCTACGGCATCTTGTGCCATTCGCTGTGTTGTCCACCGCTCCCCCTTAGGGTTGCTGGAATAGCCTGCACCACGATTGTCCATGGCACAGACATGGCAAAATCTCTGGAGATGGCCAATCTGAGGTTTCCACAGAGTGTGAGTCCCGCCAAGGCCCATCAGCAGAATCACCCGCGGGCGCCCTCTCAGATCTGTAGCAGCTTCCTCCGGGAAGGTGCGGTAATAAATCTCGTAAGCAGAACCGCTTGACGACGATGACATCTGAACAAACGGCATGGCTTTGCAGTCAGAGTTGCTTTGACGGCCTGCACTACTTTTATGACAGGTCGGCTTGACGGGCCGCTATGTGGCATTATGTAGTCCGGCCTGTCGGGTTTTGCTGGTATTGACTCTCAAACTCGAGCACAAGTCCCAGTCGCATTGTCGAGTGTGGTGTCGCAGTGAATCCTCATCTACAGCAACCGTCGCAAATGTCTCCGGCGAGCCACATTTCCTGTTTCCGGCGCCGCACTCAGACGAAAGCTCGGTAGCCTATGCATCCGGCACAGGCCTGCGCAATCGGCGACCTGCGATGTGCTACAGACATCGGCGATGCGATGCCGACCTCCCGCGCGGGAGCAGGAACTTCCGAGGCGATGCAGGCGGTGCAGACGACGGAGACCACGGAGACGCAGTTTCCCAAGTCTCAGAACCTCAGAGCTCGAGTTGCGCAGCTAACTTCTGAGTCTTGTATAGCTGCTTGTGACGTCCTGTCTGCATGACTTTCACAACTTCATGGCGGGAATGTGCCAGGGCGAGATCCAAAGGCCTCCGCCCGTCTGAGTTAGAAGGGTCATTCCGGGCACGAAGCCGCAGCAAGTGCTTCACAACGAGTCCATGACCATGCAAAGCTGCCCAGTGCAATGGCCGCATACCCCTGTCATCAGACTCCTCTAAGTTCGCCTTCTCTTCAACAAGCCGATGCAGCACTTCAACGTGTCCCATGGTTGCCGATGCAGACACCGCCCCACCGCCGTGGAAATCCCGTATTTCGGGTGACATCTTGTGCGTTAGCAGCAAATCGACGACGGCGTGGTGCCCTTGAGTCGCAGCCCACTGCAAAGGTGTTGCACCCTTTGTATCTATTTCGCGTGAGAGCTGGATCCCATGCTTGAGAAGAGTCTGCAGCACCTCCTTGTGCCCGCTAAAGGCTGATAGAAAAGATGGAGTCAAGCCTTCGAGGTCCCGCTGAGTGCCTTCTGCACCTTTCTCCAGTAGCACGGCCACAATACGGTCGAAGCCATGGAGGGCAGCACGATGTAATGCAGTGTGGCCGTAGCTGCCCGCACTTTTCGACAGCTGATCTTGCAGCTCTTCGGCGCGCGCCACACGCAGCAGCTGCTTTACTTTTGAAAGGTCTCCGCGATTGGCGGCCCTGACCAGCTCTGGCCAGGTCTCGGTGTGACCCTGGGAGCCGACTGCTAAGCTGAAATTGTTCAGGGTACACGTTGAATGCTCTACCCCAGTGCCGAAATACAAAACCTCACCTGCATGTTGCACACACAGCTGGACACCAGACGGCAAAACTTCACCTTGAAGGCTCTGCTCGATCATACCGCACGGGTCTTCCCATCCACGGAACAGAGCCGACTCTGATTTCCTGCCCAGCCACCAGGCCTAGATGCCCAAGCTCACTTTCCAAGACAACTGCCAGTGCGGCTTCGGAGCTATATAAAAGGATCAAAACGGAGAGCGCAAGTTCGACAGCTTTTCAACGCAGATCATGTCAAAATAATTGCAAAAGTTGTTCTGCAAGCAAAGGAACCTTGACACCATTGAGCAAAGCATGCCATGTCTCGGGATGGCTGTCGTGTATCGGCACGGCCCCACCTGCCACTCCTACAGAAAAGATGGGCCGTTCTGCAAAATCCATGAAGAGTTTCCTGCGTGGGCCATGGGTTGCCAGGCGCCAGGCTCTTCCAAAGGCACCCCGCAGCGTATCCGACACAAAAATCATGCGCTCCGGACGACGTGCAGTCACATATTCTGCAAGTTTCGGGAAGTTGTAGTTGCCCCTGGTATTGTCAGCATAGAAGCTTTCATTGCCATGACGTCTCAGCACATCCGCCTCACCTGACGATGCTGGAGTGTCAAGTGCCAGCAAGTCTCTCTAATGAAAAAAGCACACCGAGGTCCTATGACCCATCTGCAGAGATGTGCACCGCCTAAATGTCCAGTGGACCCTAACGCATATTGCCTGCAGCGCGGCCTAAAGTCCAAGTCCACCAAAAAAGAATAATCTCTCGGCCTCTCGGATTAATGACCCGCCCCTAATCACGTGTCAAGCGAGGACAGCAAACCGTCTGCATCTTGGCTGCTCCATGCCGAGAGCTCGCCGTCCCGAAACAAGCCAGTCAGGAGAACACCTTAGCAAATGGCGGAACAAGTCCAAGCTTCGCGTGAGCCGGCGAAGTGCACAAAAACTCGAACTGCATTTGCCAGTTGAGACACCCTGCGAACCTCTGTATTTCTGAAAAGTCGTCCAGGCCAGACCACTGGCTGCGATCCGCGGCACATCACACCGATCCAGAATCGGTCCCAAAGCTACCACCATAGCTATGCAGGTCGACTGCAGGAAGCTAGAGCACTAAGAGACTGCCGGCGGTTTGGCCTCGGCCATCGCACACCAGTCAGTCTCCGGCTGCGTGGCAGTCTCACAGGCAGCGCGGTTTCGGGCAGTATCTCGCTAACACATTCTGCAATCTCGTTTTTGCGTCGCTCGTGTGCTAGCGCAGGCATGCGGCTGATCGCTCACTGAACCAGGTTAAGATCACCCAGAGAGCAACCCGAAAAAACACTAACTGTTTCACTGTCTGCGTGAAGTTACGCAGAAGACATTTACTTCTGTCCCGAGCTTGGCAGAGCCTCTCCCATCAGTGGACCTTGTGAGGTTCTGGTCTCAGATTGGCTATGATAGACTCCACTGAGTAGCTGAGGGCTCTCTCCAAGACTATTGAAACTTGGGAGCTTGGTTGTTCAAGCTCTACCAAGAAGCTTTCTGCGTTTGTGTGAAGGAGCTGATGTGCCTGGGCACAGGATCTGCACATCGTTTGCTGTGAGCCAAGGTCAACCCTGTGTGCTCCGTACTAGCTTGTGCTGTGCAGATGAATCGCCTGTACCAGCGTGCCACGTGCGGAAACTGCTCGCAGGAAACGTTGTCCGGGGTCGCCGCCTCGGCCCGAAAGTCGAACAGTGACGATGAATGTCCTACTGCATGAGAAAACTCGCTGGTAAAGCGCCGTGCCAGCTGTGCAACATCAGCCTGGTAAAGGGAAGCGAAGCTGGAAACTTGCCTCCCCCGTTACTGTTCTCTCTGACGAACGCACCTGAGACGGCTTGTGCCCTCCGTCGAAATAACTCCTCATGTCTTGGAGCAGTTTTGAGAATTGAGGATAAGGCAACAAGTGGCTCGCAATTGGCTCGCTGCACTTGATCAATGATTTTTTGGTGTCCGCGGCGACAACCTATGCCGCTGAGGCGAAAAATCTGAGCGAAGCTCGCTGTGTTTCACAGGCCGAGCCTTCGCCTGCCAAAATTCCTAACGTTCGACTATGGCTGTATACTTGGCGGTCCCTGACTATCCTTGTACAGACATCATCTTCCGCAATCGCTTCCAAAGGGTCCTCAAAGGGGAAAGCATACTTCAGGAGCAAAGTTAAGAAACTGAGCTGGGCTGCATGTGTCCACAGGTCTTGGGATGCCGAACCTACTGGAGGCACCACCGTTGAATGCGACTGTGTCTTGGTTGCGCTTGCAAGGAGAGGGTGGGTAAGAGTTGCCCACCGGTTCGCGCTTGGCCAGTCTGAAACCGAGGAACTCTTTGGGCTTGAAACTGCCCACATCACCAGGCAAGTTGCCCTGCAACAAGCTTTCGGCTTGGTCTCGCCAGGCATCAGCCTGGATCTCAAAAGAATCATGCAAAAGGGTCACACAGGTTGGCAAGCTTCGGTACTGCAGCTGGCTGAGGCATGGGCAAGCGACCAGCCGACCTTGCGAATGCCGAGGTCACCGGCTGCTGCGAACGTGCACATACCCCAGGACAGTAAGGGTGCATTACCCGAGCAGCTAGCAAAGGCCAGATGAACTCTTGCAAACCCTGCATTGCCGGCAAGCGGCATTTAGCCGCATGGCCAAACCTCGAATCAGCAGCGTCATGCGACAAAGGAGCACGAACCTTAGTGCATGGCAGTTCAAGGACATTCAAGGACTATGTGCTAGGCGAGTTTTGCAGGCACCAGTCGAACATGATCTGGTCATGAGAACCGGGCGACAGAGCAGCTGTGATACTTACTGGCTGTTTTTGAAAACAACCCATAGAAGGAAAGCGAACTACAACCGGCAAGCATTACCGGTACCACAACTCCTTTCGTCTTCCGTTGTTTCAACTACCAGGACATGCGCGAGGACGGTGGAATTAGAGGCTGCTCTTCCATGGAGAGTGCGACCTGCCTGTCCCACTGCTTCCAAAGGGCTCCCTCGGAAACGATGCAACCTGAGTAAACTGGCCAGGCAAAAACGGCAGCGACAGCAACTGTGCGAAGGGTCCTGCAGCAGATGAGCGCATGGCATCGCGGACAGGGCAATTGGGCGACAGCTCCTCGAGAAGTCTGTGAAGGAGATTGTCGGCTGCCAAGCTGCTCAGCTCTTTACGCTCTCATAACTCGGACAAACCAGATAAATTCAGCAGTTCAGGCAAGTAGCATTGGCTTCATAGCCATCAGGCAACTGTCTTCTGCTGCTGTCAAAAAGCCAGAGGGCCAGTGCGCCTGCTGCATGCATCGCAACAATCAGGAGCAAACGCTGATGCGAGTTGCTCCTGCACAGCAGGGCCCAGCCGAGGGCAGAAATTCCACTCCTCAAGATGGAAGGGGCAGGGTCCGAATCAGCACAGAGAGTCAAAAACATCAGGAGCAGAATCAGCAAGCAGGCCGGATGCAAGTCATCAACAGCACAGTATCGGAGGCGCCCCAGCCGGAAACTGACAACACCAAGGAAGTGCCATGCGCGGCTAGACCGTTTGCGACAGGCAGCTGCTGGTTTTCTGACTCCAGTTGCAGACAATCGCCCGGATTTGCTGACACAAGCTACTCTTGAAGATGGAGGGCACCCGACGAGTGGAATCAGAAGTACAGCAACAAGTATCATTCATGCCAACTCTGATGCTTCCGCCACGCCACCCATGCTCTTGGCAAAGTCACCCAATGACTTTAGGCACTCCTTGGCCTGCTCTGAGTCCTGAGCATCTCAAGCACTTCCGGACCGAAGCAGAGTTTAGTGAGCGTCGGTCCGGGTCCAAGGAGTTGTACTGTGCCACCTTCACCATCAGCTCAGCAACCTGCATCAAGTGAATTTCAAGCGCTCAAGGATCGGTAGAGAGAAAACCTAATCTCGACTGCTACTGAATATGGTATAGCGCCCCCACCTGCTTGCGGAACTTGAAATTGATCCTGCAACGACGCATCGAGCACGCGACTCGCCGGGATAGGGAACTTCTGCTGCCCGAGTGTCTGCTTGGTCTGGCCGAAATCAATCAATGCTATCGAACCGTCCGGCCTCTCAAGCAGCCCCACCAGCAAACAAAACCAAGAAGATCCGGTTGATGATAACTACGCCTGCTCATGTGACAGTGCACACAAATGCCTGATGAAGATGTTGCCAGGATGTGGGTCGGCATGGAAGAACCCCTCCTCAAAGACCATGACCCCAAAGGCTTCTGTGAGTGCAGAAAGGAGCTTTCGCCCAAATACCTTGCAGGGACATCTGCGGAAAGCCCAACAGCCCGTGTGAAACTGATTCGAAAAGCGTCTAACCAATTTTCGCCCGATAAGCCATCCCCAAATACCCAGCTGCCCACTTTCCTGCCTGCTCGGCTAAGGAACCCGGCTCAATCTCAATGCCACGTCGCTTCAATTCTTCCCGCAGCTGTGAAAGTGGCGCTCCAGGAATAAAATCCATGCAAAGAACTCGTTTTGAGGTCAGGCCTGGGATACTCCTGGGCACTTGGACAGGAGGGCGGCGTCTATTCCGGTCCAAGGCGTCTGCAATCCGATCCATTCCGTTTGCCTCTGCCATAAAATTGAACTCATCTTGAAGTTGTTCTTCAAGCTCGCTGCATACGAGGTAGTAGTCGACTGGAAAGATCTCGCGCGTAACCATCGAGAATTGCTTAATCACACCTATGTCGCTCATGAGCCGTCGCTCTACGTTCGGCCGCTGAACTTTCACCGCAACCTCTCGGCCACCACGGAGCTGTGCCCGGTGCACCTGGGCAATTGATGCGCTGCCGAGCGGCCGCTCGTCGAAGCTCTCGAAGACCTCCGTTAGGGGCAAGCCACCCAACAACTCGTCTTCCACGACTTTGCGGATAACGGGGAAAGGCAGGGGATTCACCTTAGCTCAAGCAGCACCAAGTGTGTGACAGTCTGTGCCTGGATCCCGTGTTTTCCAAGTTGCCGAATCGATCATTGATGCACACTGACGAGAGTATTCCTGTGGGAAGAGGTCGCTCCGTGTCGCAATCAGTTGTCCAACTTTCCTTGGCCGAAGTGTTCAAGAACAGGACGGCGGCTCCATCACAGCGACACACACGCTCGCATGATGATGAACAAGACGACTCACACCGGAAAGACTGTGACAACAGAAAGGGAGAATCACACATCCGAAACGAGGAGGAGGAGGAGGAGGGGGGGGAAAATGGCCCACAGACGTTACTGCGGCCGGCAACTCCCTCCCCTGCGCGAGGGGTTCGAGAGGGCGAATAACTAATCAAGCCAAGTTGCACAGATCCGAGAGAAGTCTGAGACGATACCCAGTGATGGAGGACAATGCATAACGAATGAGACGAGCTCAAGAGTCAGCAAATGGGGTCGAGAAGGGCGGACTATAGTGTTGCGGAGCGGTAAGGAAATACGGATGGCGAATAAAGCAGCAAAAACCCAGAGGTGCTGTGACATAAAGGTTCGGATGAACCGTAGACCGCCCCCAACAGTAGGGCAGAATCATGCCAGGGTCCCGCAACTACAGCGGCCCGGACGGTATTTGTAGAGCCGTGCCTGGTACGGGACTACACGGCAGCGGACCTCACGAGCGCGCAACTCGCCAGGCGCAAGGCCAGGCGGCGCATGGGGTTACAGGCGGGTGACAAAAAGGAGGGTGGGTGCATGAATTGGTGAGGAGAGGAGAAAGCAAGCAGTACGACGACAGGTGCAAAGGCATCATGGCTTGTTGCGACTTCCGAGCGAACCAGCTCCACGACGTCCCTACGGATCAATGCGTCCCTCCGCACTGAGAGCACGTATGGCCGTAGTCAGCAATCCACGGCGGGATCACTCAGCAAAACACATAGCACGAGAACTTTTCACAGCTGCGGCCAAGACTGTCAGGGCCGAAGGCGGGGTCTTGAGAAAGCGGATCACCAACTTCAAAAGGCGATCCTGGATCGAGTTTTGCTCAGATGACAACGGGCAACCCACACAGGCTTCGGGCGGGGGCTTTCGTGGGTAGTTCAGGGAAGCTACGATCATGCGAAGCCGAGCGAATGCAGTGCAATGACAACTTCGAGCGCCTGCGCCGCTTCACTTAACTCCCGGCTTTGCATCGCCAGACCAACACCGCCAGGTAGGCGGGGGCACTGGCCACGGATCACGAGCAGCTCCGGCTCCTTCATGTGCGGCGCAGGAAGAGGGCCTAAGGGATTGGGTGATGAACCTGCTCAGGCATGCGTTGCTGCGCGAACTGATCCCCAACAAACCCCACTCCCCCGAATCCAAATGAAGCCCGCTAAACTCCCGAAGAGATAGAACAGGCAAACGGTAGCGGGAGGGGCAGTGCTGGGGGTCCCCGGCCTGGCACCAGCCTCCGGATGCTCGATGGGAAACCCTCAAGTCGCGCCTCCAAGTGCAAGAGCATCCGCGTGGGCAGTGGGACGGCGATCCATGTTCTGCGCAACCAACCTGTCTGTCACGCAGAGAGGCCAGCATGGCTTCCGGGTCGTCGTCTGCCTCAGAGGTTCCATGGCGTGCCCATTGAGCTCCTCGGCGGTAAAGTACCGCAGCAAAGTCAGCTCGGCGAGCCACCCAGCAGAGGCGTATCCCACGTGCTCGCTGCAAGCCTTTGAGAGCTGCCCCAGGCAAGTCGGCAAGGATGCATGCCACCTAACCCACCGGCTTTCGAAGAGACGTCTCAGCTGGCCCTTCCCGCTCCGCAGTAAAAGCCACTCCTTCGCCCTCCTCGTCAGAGAACCGCTTCAAAGCTGCAGTCACCTGACGATCGGCAGGGCAAGCGATAGCACAACTTCCAGCGCGAACTCGAAGAAGATAAACCACAGCTCGCCAGCCGGCAGCTTCGCTGGTGAGACGAAGCACGGGCGGTAAGGTATTCAATGCTGTATCGGACCCCAAGAGTGCCCGGACGTCGCCCTCCACATGCTTAGAGCTCCCCGACCAGCGCCCGCCCAGAAGGCGGTGACTTCACAGCTCGCGACCCGAGGGCGCGTGACAGCGACTGTGGGCAGAACCTCTCGCCCCGAGCACCACGGATAGCCTGGAAGCAAAAGGCACCACTCTGTGTGAAGAACCCCTCGAGGTGCCGACTGCAAACCAGACAGATGTAAAAGCGATCGCGCAACCCGGGAATCACCAAGCCCTGCGCCGACTGAGCACTGACACCGGCCCGATAGGGCGAGCAATTCGAGCTCTACCAGACCACTCGCCCACCGTACCAAGAGTACTGGCTAGGCTGCTGAGGCTGAGATGTCTCAAGTCCAGGGCCTCGAGCTGCGCGATAGTAGTGGCAGCCAAGTCTTTTCAGAACTTGAGTGCTCGATGCGGACCAGCAACGGGTACTCTGGCACGCGAAGTTTTCACTGATCACAGAAAATCTTCGAGACGTAGAACTAGACAGTGTTGCTGAAGCAGGCTCACGCACGGCTTGGGCCGCCCACCGTCTTGGATTGAACCGCAAGGAAATCATGGCGCAGTCGCGCAGCCTTAAGGTAAGCTCCTCGATGTCCTGTTGCTGAGGATCTGAAGGCAAGCGGGACGACGACCCTTGCATAAACCTAGTCAGTAGAATATTCCAGGAGCCGCCTCAGCTGCTCAGTGCCTCGTAGGGCGGGGGCTGTAGACCTGAGGGCCCTGTAGCCAAAGCCCAGCAGCCCGGAGGCCCCGGCCAACGATGGCCCGACAGCTATCAGATATGAGAATGCCTGTTGCCAGTCATCCGCAGATACAGCCAATGCAGCAAGCGATGGTCACAGCAAGAAGGAACACAGGGAGCTGCCAGGAGTTATTGCTCGACGAAAAGAGTCTGAGTCTAAGTTCCTGAAGGACTGGCGGCAGCAGGGTGAGCCACATTCTTGAGGGTTTGCAGTCATGCTTGTTTGCAATTGCTAGGCTGCAAGCCACACCCAACCGCATACAGAATCTTCATCAACTGCACTCGACTGCAGCGGGAGGCGCTGGGCGCTCGAGAAACGAAGGCCGCTCCACAGCATCAAGAAAATGCATTGCATTAGCCAAGAGTCATCAGCAGGGCCACAGCCGCTTCTTGTAGCTCGCGCACTGCACCAAAGTAATGGGTGGCTTGCCAGCTGCCAACCAAACCCCCAACTATCGGACCGCGCAAGATGCCCGGGAACGTTTGTAAACCCAACTTATGCGAACGAACCGAAGTGCATGCACCACCCCCTTCGCCACCTGCCAGCGACGTCTAGCACCTTGAGACAAACTCTCCAGAAAATCCAGAAGGCGCTGGCACGCTGGAGCTCCCATCGCGCATTGCAGCAGCGACAGAATTCATACTCGCAGGAGCAAACCGGCTTGATAACAGCACACGAAGGCGACATGGAACAATGGTATACGATGGAGGCTGGCTCTCAGCCCGGGGCAGGGCGGCATCTGCGGCCACCGTCTGGAAACCTGTCGGCGGCATATCCAGCAGCGATAAAGCAGCAGGAAAACGAAACAGCCATGGCAATAGCACTGTCCAACTGGTGGTACCTGCAATCCTGCAACAACTGCACCTGGCACAAAGGACCGGACCTGGTCTGGTCAAGCAGAAGCATGACATAAAGTGCCTGCTACCTGTTGTGCCGTGTGATCGCCCCATGTACGTAGCCAAGTAAAACTTGCACAGCAGAGCTTTTGGAACAGCAGAGCTTCGAACACAGCAAAACTTTTAGCACAGCAGAGCTTCGAACACAGCGGAGCTTCGAACGCAGCAAAACTTCTAGCACAGCAAAGCTTCGAGCACAGAGCTTCGAGCACAGCAGAGCTTTTAGCACAGCACAATACACACAACACGCACACACACACATACAACACACACAACACACACGGAGAAATGGCTCTTAATCCAGTTGGTGTTTTGGCTTTTGCCACAACCTAATCATCACGATGTTACCTTAGTAGTTGTCAGGAACAGCAGGGAAGTCAGCACGCCAGCTTATCGAAGACAGCATTGCAGGTTTGTGGCTTGGCCTGGTTGCCGTTCGAGCTTTCGAATTGACTGGCCATGCTTGCAGGTACGCCGAGTTGAACAGACTCGGTATCCCATGACTGTGGTAGCTTCGTTGAGTGCGGGCCCACAGTCATGCCGCACTCCCCTGCAGCTGTACAAAATGATGCTTGACAATCTTCCAGGAACCCTTAGCAATGATCAGGGCTTACACACACACACCCCCCGTTCGGGGGGAGG